GGAAGGGGGGGGGGGGTTGCAGTCTTAGTCTGCTTTGCTTGAGATGCAGTAAATCCCCAAATCCCCAGCAGCTTTTCCTTACACTCGTCTGTCTCTTCACAGCCCTGAAGAAGACGGAGATTTGAGACCTCAACTCCGCAAACACCTATCTGTGCACAGGAAGGAGGAGAAACCTGAAAATCAACGGATGTCACAATGCGGCAATGAGCTCCAGCAGAGTCGTGGGGCGATGGGGAAAAATCGGCGAGCGCTCTCCCTGCCCCTCTCCCCAATATCAGGGCTACGACACATGCCAGCACACCCCCTCACACACTCCCCGGCCCCTACCCCAGAGGCACTACAGCAGCACTACAACCACAAGGATGTTGACACTGACAGCGCCAGCGATCTGTCAGACTCTGAGAGGCTGCCCGTGCTTCCCTCTCCCTGCACCCCCTGCACCCCTCCTCACCTCAACCTGCGGGCAGAGGTCATCAACAGCAATGACTTTCCCCCGGACTTCCCAGGACCCCATGGGATTCTGGGTGATGAAGATGAGAGTGAAAAACCCAGCTACAGTTACCCAGACTTTCTGCCGCCTCCCTTCAACAGCTGGAGCCTGAGACAGCTGGCAGTGTTTCTTCATACAGAGGGCCGTGGCGCCCCCCGGCCCAAACCTGTAGGGCCCTTAGAGAAGTACCTGGAGAGGCTGCTGCAGCTGGAGTGGCTCCAGATCCAAACGGTGCAAGCAGAGAGCAGCCGTCCCCCTGGGAGCCGTCCAAGGCCACAGGGTTTCCCCTCTGCCACCACTGCTCACCCACCGAGGCCTCACACAGCTCCACCGTCCAGACTCAACTCCCCTAAAGGGCTGCGGCAGAGCCAGCGAGCCTTTCCATTTGCACCTGTCAACAACCCCCCGTCACCAGCCTCAACCCAGCACCAGCACTCCCGCTTCCCAGTTTGCCCTCACTGTCACATTCGCTACCCGCTGTGCAATGGAAGCTGCTCTGCCTATGCCTACCAGCGCCACTCGCGGCTCAGCCCACTGCTTGAGCGCAAAGCCAGACCTGGGGCGCCAGCGAAGAGGAGCAGCAGTGAGACCCGAGCGACCTCCACGGAAGGTAGGAGCCCAGGAGGACAAGGAGGAGGAGCCAATACCCCAGTTAGCCCCTCAGCTGGAAGGAGTCATCTCAAGCACATGCAGGCTGCAGGCAATGCCCGTAAGCAACCGCAGGAATCTGGAACCAACCCAAATAGCAGAGGTCAGGTGAGGAAAAGCCGCGTCAGAGCTAACTCTGAGACAGATGTTAAAAAGGAGCCTGGTGGCAGTAAAGCAGCCGGTGCAGAGAAACGTGTTTTTGCTGCAAGTAAGAGAGAGGTCCTCACTTCCAAGAGAGTAGAGAAGGACTGGCAGAGGACTGAGGCAGGTCACGGTGGTCTGGCCTCTAAAACTGCCATGAAAAGAGCTACTAAAGAGCCGCAGTCTCTCTCCAAAGCACCGCTTAGTAGTAAGCAGAATGACAAAACAAAAAATGTGCACTTTGTTGCAAAGTAACCCCTATAGACCTACAGTGTAGTGCTTTACTTAGTAGTTACTTGGTACAGGAGCTTGAACCTATGCTTGCTTTCTGTGTAATCTGTGTAATACTAACATGTTGTAACTGTTGTGCAGCAGTCTAAATCAGTCAGTAGTGTACAGCCTTCAAAAGGTCAAAACTAACAAGAAGTTGAGCAGCTAGACTAGAGATAAAATAGCAATGATTTCAATGCACAATATGACAGTTAAATAGAACAGAATTATATATACATATTATATTTCATTCAAAATGTACAGTAGGTTTACGGTCATAATTTCAGACTGTTTTGACAAAAGGCTCACTATGGCCCTAAACACTAGTAGGATGAAAACAGTCTAAAAACACAGCTTCTATGTAAACTGAACTCTGTTGCACTGCACAGTCGTCTCTCAGTGTGCTACTAATGTTGAAATAGGCATAAAAAAGCATCTACTGTACCACTTAACAGCTTTCAGCATAAGTAATCTATAGTGAAGTTGAACACAGATCATTACATTTTAGTCATCCAATACAACCATAGCCGTTACTAGTGGAGTTTTTGATGTTAGAATGTATTTGTTGTCATTGCTCTTCCTTTAATTTTTGTCCTTTTTTTTTATCTCATGTTTTCAAGACTCATGTTCAGTTAAAGCATCTTGGCTGAAATGGCTGAAAGGAGGAGGCGCAATAAGTGGTTGTGTACCGCAGTGATGTAATTTGTTTCAGATATATTTGTGCAATGGTATTACATTTTTGGTTACAAGGGCTTTTCATGTTTGAACAGCTTGAATTGTAGTCTATGATAATATATTGTATTTTGCATAGAGCTGAGCTCTATCATTGAAGACAGTGTAATGTTTGCTACGAATGTAAATGCATATTTTTTCAACTTTTATATACCATAGTTATATTTATGAAAAGTGTTGTGGTTGACTTGTATTTATTCATTGTCATTATTATGTTTACATCATCATGCACAAAAAGAAAATATTTAGTAAAAGAGCTGAATGTAACTCAATGTCTGCTGTGCTGTACCATTGTTTCATTTCCACAATTCAATGGGAGTCCACCACATCGTAGCTGTAAGGCTGTAACATGGTGATGTTATACATATCATCATATTCCACTGCATACTTGAAGTCTTTAGAACACTGTGTTTACATTAGAGTGTCTTATATGTTTGTGATTTACCATGTGCACTTGATTCATGGGAATACTACATTCATGTAAATAATGTGATATGTATTCTGATTGCACCTTTACTTAATATTCATGTAAAGTATCAAAGCCATAGATAAGGGGCCAGGAGTGACAATGTTATTATAAATGTGTACATTATGTTGACACGCACGCAGAAAGATTGTGGTATGTATTTTCTCAATGTTGAATGCAAGTATTTGTAAGGCATAGAAATAAATGTTTTGCACTCAAGGGACACTGAACCATTGGCCATTCTTGGGAACACATAAAGAAATTATACACATTTCACAACTATCTTTATTACTGAGACCCTGCTAAAATCCCAAACTTAACCACATACACTTCATTCATTAATCATGCCAATGAGTGCATTCATAAGCAAAACATATTTATACCAGTATACTTGTTTTTTTAACTCTGGCAATTGGAAGTATTACATGCTTGGTTAAAGTTTTAAGAAAGTGTAGTTTTTATTCATTTGCATGGTGAGATTGTAACCTAGGTGCTTGGAATCTGATCAGATCATCACAGAGAACTCATTTTACATGAAATATTACTAATGTTTTTTCAGTTATTTGTGCTCACTGGAGCCTGTCTTCTCCAAAACACATTCCAAGTACCATAGCGGTGGGACATAACAATGATAAGTGTCTTACATCCTTTTCTGGCATGGAAATGGTTTTAGAAGATGACGAAGCTGCTTCTCTCTGTCATTCACACACCCTGCAGCAAAGAACAGGTAAATATTTGCAGCAATTAGTCATAATGTATTGATTCACATGATGCATTACCATGGTCTAAATTGCATTTTGAATGTGGGACTTCTGTGTAAAGTTTGCATTAGCAGCATAGTTAGGTTACCTAAGTGTGTGTTGGCAGTGAAACACGAACTGCCAAATGTTTCTAGGTTAACATCCTCTCTATAGACAGGCCCATCGTTCCACATGAGATCATAGCCACCCACCCTTTTCTCCTTGCCACTCAGCCTAATGAGAAAAAAAAACACAGTTAATTAGATTGCAGCAGCAGCGCGGCAGAAAGAGATAAAAGGAACTCATCTAATCGTCTGATCACCTTGTGATCTAAGGGAAATGGTGGTAGTTTCTGTACATTTGTACGGATTAGTGAAAAGAATCACTAAAGAATGTCTAGTGAGTAATGAATGGAGGGACAGAGAGCCCTCATACCTGGTGGCAGAAAAGGCAAACACATGATAAGAAAGAGGCCTTTACCGTCCCTCCATATCAACAACATTCAAAGTGTCTTCCAGCAGACGGCACTTCATCTCGTAATCCTCTTGACTACTGGGTGTGTGTGACGGAGAGGCGTTCACCTCAATTAACCACCTGCAAAGAGACAGAGGGTGATGACATTCACCAAACATTTACTTAGCCTTTTGAGCCGGCATTAGGCAAAATCCATAACGAACAGCAAACAGTTCAATGAAGATTGTTAGGTAGGCCGAAGCAAGTGAATTAATGTTACAATATTTGCATTTGAGAGAGGCACTGCGTGTGTGTGTGTGCGCGTGCTATTATTTACAGCAAGATTATTGCATTTTTCAGATATGCTGTGCAGATTTATGAGGTGTTCATACATGGTTATTTTTGGAGCCTAACACTAGCAGATTTACTGCTTTGTTTTTAAGTATTCGGTAAGGCAAATCAAACGTGTGCCATGTTTTCTTGTCTGTGCATGTGCCCGCCCTTCTGTGCTTATCTGTGAGTTTCGTGCCTTAGTGCATGTTTGCGAGTCAATGTGTATGTGCAGACCGTACGACCACTTACGGTTTGAGGTTCTGATCCAGCAGAATGTCGTACCCATACAGCTCAAAGCAGTGTTTGTCATTTATAATGACCTTTTGTACACTCTGTAGACTGCGGACAAATATGTTATCCATCTCTTGAAACAGAGTTTCTATCGTCTCTCTGCCGTGTTTCGCAGTCAGGTATCTTCGAAGCTGCTGCATCTGCCACTTACAACCCTATTTAGAGATTAATGAAACAGTACAGGAATACAGAGGAAATATAATCTGTTAAAGGGGATACATTTCAGAAAACTGATGTAAATATGCAGTAACATAATCTGCTGTTTGAGGTTCCTGAATTACGCACCTTTTCAGGATCATAGTCTGGCGCCGTTTTCTGAACAGCCACATTGGTGAGGTGCATATCTGAAAAGAGGCACTAAGTAGATTTTGGAAACTTTAATGACGTAATCACGCCCTCCACGGGGATGTGGATGAAAGCGACAAAATTAGGAACAACAGCCTCAGAAACTGGGTCAAACCGGGCTATTTAAAACTGACTTTGCTTGAATATTTAATCAGACAAAGGCTCAACTTGTAAAGGACTGGCACACTGGTACTTAAAACTCAAAACTAGACTATCACATCCGAGTATCAACATTCAAATGAAATGAGACAAAATGTGATGACGGCAAAAAGGGATACACTTGTCATCAATGGTGCTAAGGGAGAAGCGGGTTGTCGAGAAGCGGGCAAAGCCATCTCGATACAGCCAGGCCCTCAAGGGAACATACTAAAACACAAACACACATACACACACACACTGATTTAATGCATGCAGCAACATAACATTCATCATTGTGATTTACAAGGTTCACTACTTACTGATGTGACCAGCACGTACACCCTCAGATCAAATTTCCTGCCTGTGGGCGGTAAAAAAAACATAAACAGTATATAAGCCTCTATATGCTCACTAATATTATGTTATTATTAGCACACCTTATTATTTTTCTGAATTGGATTTACAATAAAACTGTATTTTTTATTCGGTTCATTACCATTAATGAGGTAGGGGTTCTCTATATAGCGTTGTGCCACATAGCTTTCCACTTGAGCTGCATCCTTCTGTTCCTCTGAGCGGGTGCCATCCTGTGTGAGCACAGTATTATCAATCTGAATATGTGGGTGTGTATGTAAAATGTAGTCATTTATTTTACACCTAATTCATGATGAAATAGATGCACAATACCTTCTTCCAATCCATAATGTCTTTCAATTTCCTGAAAAGGAAAATGCCTTTCCCTTGAGATTTTGCCACCTAAATAAACACAACATACATTTTCTGTGCTTTAGTTTCTGGAATCATCCAAATACTGAACTAATTATGATTTAATTGCACTAGATTACATCTGTGGTCTGCTTTAGCTAACCGGCTTCATGATCCAGGTGCTGCCAGGGCTTCTTTTGAACTCCTCTACAAAGAGGTGATATTCGCTGGGCAGTGCAAAGGTGCAGGGGAAAAAATCACATTTGGATGCTTCCATGCGGCCAATGTCCCTTTCGAGATTTTTCCGGTATCTTTTGAGGTTTTTCACCATGAGGTTTTTGCGGGTCAGCTGTAACATAGAAAAACATAATAATAGAAAAACACACACAAAAAGACGACCTGACTTTTGGTTTGAATGATATATGGTTATTGCTGTTGAAATCTCCAGTTTATAGCCTCAAAGCATACCAGACTCATTCTGCCTCACCTCATAATGGTTGCGAAAGTGGTTTATCCTAACATGTTCCTCCATGTATGAGTGATCGAAATTCTCCCTGAGCCAGCCCACATCACACCAGTTGAAGTCCCACTCTCCATCACTGTAGAAAAAAAAAAAAATCAGGTTCATGCCACAAATACAAAGACAGAGACACTGATGTGATGATGAACAGACAACCCTACTCACTCTTTGACTTCAATCCAGCCTGGTCTTTGGCGCAGGACATCCTGTATGGTGTTGAGTAGGCCACATTTGTAACGCACACAACTTCTTACCTCCCTGAGGAGACAATGTTACATAGTCACTGTAACCTGGACTTGTGAATAGCTATTCATTCAAACATCAGAACCACACTCACCGCTCCTCAGTTTTGGTACTGTCATATGAACCTTTGTATCCAGATGTCTGCAAAGGTGAGGAAAGAAAAACAATATTTAGTTAGTTAGTCCCCATGGTCTTCAGTACAAAGTTAGATTTTACAAACATTTTATAACTGCAAACTAACCTACACACCAAGTAGCAACTATCTGGTTTTCTAATTAATACGTAGTTAACCCTAACCCAACGACCTAATGAATTACTTGCTAGTCTTTAGCATAACCATGTTAATGTAACTTATTAATAAGTTACTCTTCATTAACTTATGGTACGCAGTAGCTGGAACTTTGCTAACGCGAGAATATATAATATATCACATAATAATATATTGAAATGCTTTCTAATTACCTTATACTTCGACATGGAGGCGCACACTATCAAATGTTAGAAAACTAGGATTGTTCACTAACGTTATGTGTATAACTATGCGTAAGAAACAAGCAACACCTGAGTAGTTAGCTCCTATTACTCCTAGCGTTGTTTGTTAGAAAAGTTGTCATGGTAACAACATCAGTCAATGACCGAGGGGAATTGTCCGTGTGTGCTTTCCGTAGCTTCCGTAGCATTTGTAAGCCGCTGACCATTTGTAGTTTTAGACATATTAAAGATTAGGTCCAGGTGACCTATACTGTCCGACTAGATCGATAATTACGGTATTACAGACGCTTATTCTTAAAAAAAACACCTTTCATGGGCGGGTGTTTTTAGTTAACAGTATTTGTAAACGGAATAAATGCCATATAAATGTATTACATCTTAAAAGACAGCAAAAACGTCACACTATCATCACCCCTTAACTTTACTATAAAATGACCACTTAGTGGCGCCAAAACCTCATCTAACAGTAAAATAGGACTTCTCTTTGCAGCATATACTGAATCTTTTTTTTCCACTTCAAAAACTCTTTCATCATCATTCGCTTCATCAAAACGATGATCCACTTATTTACCTATATGTGTTATCTAGGTTAACACATGTATTGGATATGGGAATGGAAACTAAATAGGCTTGAGGTTGAACAACATATATCAAGTTCATTGCTCCACTATCTTCATTTCTCCTTAGATTTTCTTGCTGTTAAGATTCTGTAAATACTTATTAATACTATTCTAACTGGCATATGCAATATTCTGACATAAGTATAAAATGGGAAATGTCATAACAACACAATATTCTTTCATATTTATCTCTGAATTCTTTTCTATATTTAAAGCCATATGTGAACATTTAACTTTCCAGAGGGATAAATGACCCACCGATTGCACCCAGTGACATACAATGACAGGAGGATTATGAAGGAAAACAGTCTGGAGTGGAGAGAGTTGGGTCATACTTGAAATTTGACCTCTGGCTTTAAGAAAGACTTTCTATGGTTTTCTGAGAAAACACACTGCCCTGTTCATTCACCCATCAGCTAATGGTCAATGGACTGTATCTAATCTGTTTATGTTTCTTGGTAACAGAAGATTCTCTTGTTTCAGTGTGCATTACTCTCCTCAAAGAAATTAGCTGGTACATGTCTCATTGATCCTTTGGTTGTTGTTTATCTGATAAAAGCATAGTGGATTGGAGTACAGGTATAGGGTATATGCTCCCCTATTTCCGAATTTTAAAGCATAATAACAGCTCAATCTATACTTAGTTCATGAAACATTTATTGTTTTAAACACCTTGTTGTATAGACTATTGCACATCTGAGTCAGATTCCTGTGCAAAGTTAAATAAATGGGTAGATTTCCATCTCCTATGCTGATTCCTTTGCCTTTTTCTTTCTCAGCCACCCACCACTAATCAAACAAACAACCATACTTTAGAGTCTGACATAAATAATCAGGACAGGCTAGAATTAACAGGGCTTTAAATTGAATTTGGATGTAGGCTATGGTTTGGCTTGCTACCAAAGTGTCCACAAGAACAGAGGCCAGACCTCTCAGTGGTGTGTAATAGGATTTCTGTACTGAGCTGAGCCAAAACCCAGTCTCAAAACCTTTCTATAAGTTATAGAAGAAAGTGCTTTATGTGTGTCACTTCATTGAAATTACAGCTGTTACAAAGCGTAACATATGGTTGCAAGAACTGATTTTCTATTTAGTGCTGTCATATAGGAATTTGGGTATTATTACGTATTATAACGAAGAACAGACAAGAAAATCCAGTGAAATGTAGCAGCTCTAATATTTCACTTCTAAAACAGCTGGCTATAAGATGTTTTTCAGTTTTCTTTTAAACTTTATCAACATCATTCCCTTTGGTGAGCCTCAGGCATCTTTCTTTTATCATGTTTGCTGTAAAGGAGATGTTTGTTTATTGAAATGTTAACAGGTGTTAATTTAGTTCCCAAAAGTGTCAATAATTGGAATAAACAAGAATGTAATTAGAGCAATCAGTCAAGTTATCCAAATTGTGGATTAATAACTGACAAATTATCCAAATAAATGGATGGAATAGAAGTGATATCATATTTTTCCATCTCAGTGAAAAAGTAATATAGATAGTGACAAGATAGATATTAGATATTTCTAATTTCTAGTAAAAGAAATAACGTTTTAGCCACCCACAAACTCGTGTGGGTGGCACACCCATTGTGTTTAAACACAATATAGACAATTTGTCCCTACATAAACTGCGATGTCTTCCAAAATCCGAAAAGTTAGTCCTTTGCCAAGAGTTTTCATTTACATCACCACCGCAGCATTACAAATCCCATTTTCGAGTTTAATGCTTTATGTCTCATGGGAGACAACAGTTTTGTCCTTAGAGCACATTTTTTACTCCATGCCTTTCAAACCCCAGCTTCTGCAAAACTCTTTTTCTTAACCCCCAATAATCGGTTAAACCATAGGAGCCAATCAGGGGTCAACCTCTCAGCAAGCTTTTATTTTGAGGCAAAATCCTGCATTTGTGTGTGTGCAGTTTTGGTTTTGGCAGTCATCTCCCCAGAGAATCAACAGTGGCTGTACACATTATGCTTATAATTCTGGATAACCACTTCTATTTTTCTCCTTATGCAGCATGAAAAAAAAAATCACTTGGAATTGAAACTGTTTTTGAGAATCAACCCATGGGTGTTTCTCTTTCAAACATGAAGCCCGTGTTTTGTATGGATCTGAAATTAAATTCCAACTTTATTGGTGGTCATTTTATATTTATTTAGATTTTTCTTTGAAAACCTCCCTTTGACTGGCTCAGTTTGACAATGCTGATTTTATCACGGTGTGGGTTTTGCATAAATCTCAATAACGCCACTTACTGTGAAGCATCCTGCAGGTTATACAATTTCCAGTGGCTGATAGTCATCAGTCCTGGTAAACCAAATGCTCCTCAACAGCGACCACAAAGCAGGGAATCTCTGTGGGATTCAGGGGCATCAGATGTTACTCATAAGTAAGGCATCTTGCTGACTTAAGTGTGATAGTCCTTACCATGGAATCATGTTCTGTTTGATGGAAAGTTCAGTTCGGTCATTAATCTTTCTGCAGAGTCTTAGTACCCAAACACCCTTGTTGTGTCACTGATTCAGGTCAAGGGAACAAGTAAAGGTAAAGCTTTAAAGCAAAGTTATTTTAATTACCTAAAACTAAATTAAAAACTAATAACTATAAAAAATGTTGTTACCTGAAATAAAAATAAAATCTAGATTAACTGAAATGATATGTAGTACTTACAAAACTAACTGAAATAAAAAATATAAGGAAATGTCTTTAGTTTTTTGAGGAGGCATTTATTATGTTTATTGAGACGGATGTCTACGTGACTGAGTCAATTACATTCACAAGGCAATATATTTTTATTGTAACACCTATTCTGAACTTCTTAAATCAAACAAAAAGCTTCATAATAAAAGAAAATAAAACAAATATTGAAATGAATAAAAACTAACTACAACTAAACATTTTTAAACAATAAAAACTAAACTGAAATCCACTTTAGAAACTCAAATTAAACTGAATTGAAGACAACCATTAAAAGTTTATAACTGCTTTGAAGCATGAAAATGTAAAAGGGGCAAAGGGACTGAGCTGATATGTGCCAAGAAGTGGCATTGCTGAGGTCAAACCTGCCCATGTGACATGACTGAGCATCTCTGTCCTGCATCATTCTACATAAAGAATATTCTACCAATGCTGCTTAGAGTAACTGACAAACTGTCAGGAAATTACTGCCTCAAGGCTTATTTAAGTGTGCGTACGTCCTCTATGTCTAATAACATCTGTGCCATTGATATAGGCAGGACAGGAATAAATAGCAGGTAGTGTTTTCATGTGTCCTCTGTTCTATAGTTGAGATCCACTTCCTTTCTGTACTTGATTTTCTTAGCCTTATCAGATTTATTGAACTGTTTTACATAACAGTTCTTCATATTAATTTCAACAGGCTTACATATCTGCAGCCTCTGAGATGTTAATGCCACCTGTTTATTATTTCTCCGCTCCCTACCTCAGTAGCTCCACAGCACTCCAGAGGCCATGAGTCTTCAAATCCCCTGGCTTTGCACACCCAAAAAGTTTTCTAATAAAACATAAGAAGAGGCCAAGAGAAACAGGACAAAGTGGCAGCTGGAATCCTCCTCAAATGTATTACATTCCCAGTTGTCTCCCAGTTAAATCGCCAATCCACTGCAATGAGTTTCCTTCTAGTGACTATCAACTGCAGCTATAATCACCCCTACACAAGCAGATGTTGGTGAACATACACTACATGTGTTATGGTATGAAACCATATGTCTGGCTTCTTGAGAAAAAAAAGAGGGAAGAAATATTGTGTAAAATTATTACAGTGATCTAGGAAATACCAGGAAACTTGTTAGGTCCATGATGGATTTTTTAAAAAACATGGATTTTTAATGGCATTGCTAATGAAGTAAACAATTTAAGTAGTAAAATGTGTTGCTTAATGCAATGCGAATAAAGTGTGAAAGATCTATTTAAATGAGGCCTACTATTATATTTCACACCTCAATCCAATTCTATTGCCTTGATCAGCCAAACCAATGTATCCATGGAGATTTTATATTTTGATTTGGCCTGTTTAATCTAAATAACCATCCATGATCAAATGAACTCACACTGCAACATCAGATTCACCAGACCAGGTTGTAAGAGGTCTTTGACAAAAAAAAACCAAAATGATACCTTGAAAGCATGCATGCATCATGTGACCGCTAAACCACATGCAGTCAACTTTCTGATAGCATTCTGTCTCCACAACTCGGGTCAGGGGAAAGAAAACAGAATATGGTCTTCATTTATCTGGAATTTCTCTCTGTTTCCCAGCTTGGGGATTGTGCCAGAGGACTGGGGTATGGCACAAAACCCTAGCCTTGGGGAATTTGGGAAGGAACCAGAGGGCAGTCACGAGTCAGACAGATCTAGGTTCACTGGATGCCTCTGTAGAAAAGTATAAATCCAGGACACTTACTGCATACAACCCAGAGAGTCAAAAGGTACAGTTAACATTATGAGACACTTTGGATCATCATGCCAAAGCATCTGAATAAAATCTTCCCATGAGGGTATGCATGTGTTTCATGTAAGTGTGTTTGTGTGATCTGTGTTTAAATGTAACAGTTTCTCTGGGTCTGACTCAGGCTAAAGACCAGTTAACTGGGACAGCTTCTCCAACTAGGGACAAAAGCCATTTCCCCAATTTGGAAAAAGCTGCTTTTTGGGTCATTGGTTAAGGTTAATAATAAGACTTATCTTTTTAATTCAAATACTTACATTTAAATGGATTTTCATCCTACATATTAGTTCATCTTCAGAGGTTTCCGGAAGTGATGGAAAAACTGTACAGTCAGATGAGAACATAACAGAAAATCTAAACAGATTAGCAAGTTTCCTCTACTCTTTTCTGGCAGTCTGGTGTTTGATAGAAATGATCCCCCAGGAGGCAAAACAGAGTGAAAGGAAATTGGAGTTGGAGGCACAGTGAGGTCTGTTTGTTTTTTTAATAGGGATCTGAGCATGACTGAAGGTATACCCTCATAAAATCTCCTGCTGGTCCTTGTTTAGTTTCCAATGCACACTCAACATTTCCTTCAAATTTCCAAACGTATTCCCATGTAGCTTCCATGATTACTTCATGCAGTGTATGTGTGTTGTGTTAACTTCAGAAACAGACACATACACACTTACAGTGGAATGATGAACAGAATGGATCAGTTAAATGGAGTTGAACTGAATTATATTGAATTTTAAGCAAGATTCAAAATTAATTTTATTTCCAGTGGCGTCAGTGCCAGGAGCAGGGCCAGACATGGTCGTCACCATATATTTGGTTGCAAATCAGTCACATACATCACCAGACACTTCTCCTGGTGATGCTGTGCCAGGCCTGAACTGCTGCCATCATTAGCTTTAGTCTGGTCTTCATGAAAAGAAATGCATGGTGAAATTGACTGAAGTTGGATGATTGACACCATCAGTCAACAACACATTCCACTGTTTGGACATACTCCTGTATGACTGTAAAACACTTTAGTTGTTTGGCTGCATGTTCAGGGTCATCGTCCTGCTGCATGACCCTCTCTTTGTCCATGTCTGACAGATGAGGTGAAATGCCTTGGATTATGAGATGTTCTTTTGCCCTCCATACTTTCCAATTTCCATCATACTTGAACAGGTTGATCTTGGTCTCAGCTGTCCATTACAGTTCGTTTTAAAACTCTGCAGGTGCAGAGACCCGGTGGCAACCTGGTCTTTGTATTCTTGAGGCTTGTGATCCCTCACACAACTCCGCCCACATCCTTTTTCATGGTCTACCAGGTCATCTGCAACTGCTGGGCTCACTTGTAATTTCTTACTTCTTAACCAAAGCGTTGTATTCCAACATATCTCATATTTTGGCTGATAGATTCATTCTCTTTTTTTCAGCCTCTCAGCGGTCAAGTTTACCGGCACTGACACTTCTTTAGTCCTCATGCTGAGAGACAACAGAATCCAAAGGCAAAACACACCCAGAATTGACTTCAGAGCAGAGCGCGAGGCACTTAAGCAGTCAATCATGCAGTCACGTTTGGGTGAATGAAGAGAGAGAGAGAGAGAGAGAGTATAGTTCAAGTATAGTACAGTTCCTTGAGTCTGTGCCCCTAACTGGCCCCCCACCCAAAATGCTTCAAAATCCAGATGTAGATTTGCAGACTCCAATTACACATGCACACAAACACACACATATTCAATTACAGTCTAATTGTAGCAATTATTCACTGAGAAAACCTTTAGACAGTCACACTTGAAAAAGTCAACACCTGTTTACTATCAAAACAGGTCCACCATCCATGCACAGAACGACAATAAATTATATATTCCCATTTTCTATAATACCATTTCTAACAGAAATAACTTACTAAAAACATATCACCTCAGTGATGTACACAATGAGCATAGTTACGTAAACTAAACATACTAACTAAAATAATGATATAAAATAATATTATAATGTAATTGCTTACAGTTTTTCTGACCTTGCATGAAAGGTCTTGACTTGAAATCTATGTACAGTATACTCGGATAAATGACGTAGTCTATAGCTCTTATATTATATATAACATTTTACTGCAGATGGGAAAGCAATACTCTTGTGTGGCAGCAGCACTGTGTTTAGTAGATAGCCTAAGGGGTTTTTGTCTAGACCACAGGATTATAAACCTCAGAACAGTAACTCTCTCCCCAACAGTAATAATGGATTGGTCCATTGGGCCTGGAAACTGCAGCACAAATTGATCCTCAGAAGTGATGTGATCAAATGTTCTCAAAATTATGTTAAAGACATTTCCTCTGGGTCTTAACAACACTGACCAGCATCTCCTTTTAGTCTCCATTGTAAGGGCATGTTGGGCAAAAATACCTTTGCAGCAGCACCTTATCTTTGTCTTGGGGCAGACTGTGATTATCTCCACATTGACACTTATGTAACAAAAAGAGTGCACTCAGTGGAGTGTAGATCTCCACCAGGGATTCTGATATGATTTCTGATATAGATGTATGCAAAGTTTTCAATAAAGTTTAATACACTTTTGTAGAGTATTTTCTTAGTTTTCTTCAAAGGTTGAGAATGTAACATTTACGAGAATCTATTGGCAGAAATGGAATATGGTATTCATAGGCATGTTTTCATTAGTGTATTATCACCTGAATGAGAATGAGCTGTTTTTATCTACAGACACTGTGGGTCACTTACTATGGAGGCCACCATGTTGAACGGTAGCCCAGAAGTAACCTGGTGGTCACCATAGTTTAGAAAGGGAGGGTTAAGCGAATGAGTTTGTTCTGCAATCTGCAGCTACACCACTAAATGCCACTACATCCTACACACTAGACCTTAAAGAATGGCATTATAACTGAGCATTTGGGGTTCTGTATAAACTTAATGAGGAAACAATAAACAAGACAATCAGTCAAAAACTTTGCTACCCCTTTCTCACCTCCCAAACAAAGAAAAGTTGATTCTCACTCAATTGGCCCTCTTGGCTTCCATACAGTCACTTTATACTCTCGTAGTCCACCAGTAAAAAGAAGAAGGTAGTCAAGATGGCAAAGATAAGAAAAATTAGGATTCATTCATCCCATTTAACTTTAGTGGATCATCAGGTAAGGATGGTTCAAGATTTGACCAAACTTGATGTCTCCTGAGTCCTGTATTGGAAATTAGCTATGGACAGATACACACACAGAAACAAGGACACACACCTGACCAAAGGCATGATCCCCTCCAGGCTTATGTCTGGAAGGGATAACAAAGGTGAGCATAAATCTGAAGTTAAGATTCTAGATCTTTGATCCAGATTTATTAGATTATTGTGAGGTGTGAAGTACTGTGCTTCTGTTTTATAAATTACAGCAACAATTAAAGTTGTCATCATACAGTTGGATTAATGTGCAGCATCAGACAAGAATTCATCAGACAAGAATTCATGTTGGCCCAGGGAATGATCTTTTTTACTGCCTTAAAGTAGCAACCACTGTTTACATGTCATCAACAGGAACACAAGCGCAGCAGTTCATCTCTGTGAACACACACAGTAGTGCTGCTGCATCTGACAGAGGGGGTGTTAAGGGAGGCGTGGGCGTGAACCCAAACCTCTCCAAAGCCCTGTATTTTTGATTCCAGCTTTTAGAAAGCGAGGTGCCTTTGAGAAGCATCGCTGCGCTCTTTGCTCCAGAGATCACCTTCACAGAGCACTCTGAGCAGTTTACGTTAAGGAAACCGCAGTTTCCTCTCTTTTCAATGCGCAATTTGCGGATAGGATTTATGACATGAAACTATAAATATGAAAGAAACAGTGCAACAAACAACTTCAGATTCTTTATTTGCTGTTTGACGCCTGGACTATAAGAGATGAGCTGCACATGGACATCTGCACTGAAGTTGATGGATTTTCACTCCATGCTGGTGGGAGATTAATTTAACAAGTGCGCTGCATCCTCATCAGGCTATGGTTCATTTTGGGAATATCTGACATGGCCAGGATACTATCCGTCCTCGCGAAAATCATGCTTTGCAAAATACTGGCACTGATTCTCTTACAAGGTACGTTTGAGGTCAACAAGCTCCAACAAAACTTTTACAATTCGTAAATTCGTTCATTTATCTATTCACACGTCTGGTTATTTTTATAACTAAGCTTATTTCTAACATGTTTCTCGTACAATACAAGGTGTCTTTGATGCCTCGGTCATATCCGAGGTCAGCCCCCGAGGTCTCCCAGACTCCAGCAGGGTGTCTGGCATCGGGGGATCCGCGGGTTTGCAGCTGTCTGAGGCAACGGAGGCGAAGTCCAGACCAAAGCGCTGCACTTGTTATTCCTACAAGGATAAAGAGTGCGTCTACTACTGCCACTTGGATATCATTTGGATCAACACTCCCGAGTAAGACATGCTTTGATAAACACTACACTGTTAAATACTTAGTAAGATAATTAATAACCCACTCTGCTAATGCACAATCATCTCGGGACTTTAATAATTGCCTATAATCGTCTTTTGTCGGTGGGGACAAAGTGTGGGTAATTATGCAAAAATTAGATTGGCATGTGGCTAGTTTGTGCAACTCAAATGGGAGTCGGGCACTGAAGCCAACACAGTGTAGTAAGTCACGCCCGGTAACTACCTCCCTGAGGCGCAAGACGCAGTCCTGGTTCAAGTGGTGGCAAGCCCAGCATAAACTACGTGCCCTGCGAGGTCAAAGTTTGACATCAGATAAGAGGAGGGTATTATTTCATAATTTAATGTGCTCTGTCTCTGTCTCTTGTATTGTCTGCTTTCTCACTGTCTCATCCTTTCAGTGCCATATATATAAGCCACAATCTTCAGGATTCTAATATATCATACCATTTTAGTGATGGTTAATGTCCATGTTGTGTGTGTGTGTTCCTGGCAAAATTAAATCAAACAACATTATGTGTAACTGATGTCTTTATCTCTGTTTTTATCAAAATACTTCCTTCCCCATGATCATTAGATTCAACAGATCATTTATTGATTAGGTTGCATATATTAATTTGCATGCATGTCCCATGTGCTTCAAAGGCACCAGAATCACCAATGCATGCTCTAATCAAAAATAGTCAATTCCTCACTCTCTGCGCTTGCAACTTGAACCGAAATCACTGGTCAAGTCTCATTAATCATGCTCTGTGAAGATTTGAGAAAAGATATGGCCACTGTATAACTCCCCTGTCATGATCTAACAATGTCTCAGGGCTCTCAAGCTGCTGAACTACTATTAAACTGCAGTGTGGCGGTTGTGAGGCTGAATGGACAGAGATCAGACAGAAATCTGTCATGCAAAGCTAATGGTCTACAGGGGCTGGTGAGCAATAGGCCCAGTTCTTCATTTCCTCCATGGTGGACCAAATTAAAATGCTTCACCATCACTCACAAAGGCTGGATTTGTTCAAAGGGAGTTTTCTGGTTACCAAAGTTGTATCACAATAGTTACTGTGGTATTGAATGAATTAGATTTTTTTGTTGTGGTTGCATTTAGTCTGCTTTTATACAAAACCAAATGAATTCATTAAAATATACTTAAACTTACTCACAATTTAGATTAATTAACTTTTCCTTTAGAGAGAGGCAGAACCGGCCTGTGGCATAAACATCTTAAGCTGTCATGTATGGGCAAACACTGAGGAAGACAACATAATGAAGGTATTATTATTAAGATGGTGGAAGTTATTTAGTGAATTGGTCCTCGGAACAGCAGTGCAGTCATGTATTTATATACCTGTACCGATATGTAGATGTCCAGAGGCCTGTCCTGGCCGGAGGTTCGCTAACTGCACCTCAGGAGTTATGTTGGCTCTGCAGGTGATGAAGAACCATGTGAAAGCGAACATTACCAGCTGGCATAATTTCAGTATGTGGCATAAAGTGTGTTTAACATGTGGCCTAGCATACCACAGATTAGTAGCAATACCTCAAAATATATTTTCCAACACTTTTTTGTTTTCCTGTCTTTGTTTTGCTCCCTCCTAACCGCATATTAAAATCCTTGGCAAGACAGCAGGAAAGCATTCTTTCTTCCTCTGTCTTCTTGTGCCAAGACTGCTGTGGGCTGTTTCAGGTAAACAGCACACTTTATTACTCCTTAGCAAGTTGGGACAAATTGACATAGTTTAAAGACTGAGTGGGATATTGACATATACCGCAACATTAATATAAAAGCAATGAGTGTGTGCTCACATTGTGTATAACACCGCGTGATGATTATTTTCCTTATTGATTAATTTTCTCGAATATCTGATTTGTTGTTTGGTCCATAAGATTTCAGAAAATGTAAAAATCTGTTTTCTAGGTGACCTCCCATCTTGTTCTGTTAACAAACTGACAAAATTAAGTTTAATGTCTAAAGAAACCAGAGAATATTCAGATTTGAGAAACTAAAAACATTCATTTGAAAAAAAAATCTAAATTCATTGAAAAAGACTCAAACAACAAATTAATCAATTATCAAAGTAGTTGGCGATGGATTGTTAACTTCTAATCTATTAATCGACTAATCAGTGCAGCTCTCCCCCACTCATTATTGGCTCACAAGACTACTGTAGGTAGCTTCCAAATATCACTTTGTGTATATACACGATTTCTTACCGACACTGCAGTTTTAATAAAAGTGCTTACTATATTGTGTTAAAGGCAGAAGCCCTTCTTCTTCATCAGATAAGAACCTGTATCTGATGTCAGGCCCTTCTGTGATAAATTTAGACAAAACTTGCAGCAGCCACTTCAGATTGAACCAGTTGCCTTTATTACCCAGAGGTCATGCAGGTTTACAGTTGTAAAGAGACAGGCTGCAGGATCAGACGAAACACAGCGGAAGCAGCAGGTGGGTAGTCAGCAACACTACTCAATCAGGTATATTGCAGCAGCAGGCAGTCTGACACAATCTACAGGGGAAAGCCATTCAGAAAATATACTGATGATGAAACGTTTATTTCAAATGGATCGGGGTAGACTTTTTGCACATCATTGCCAGATCTCCCTTTCAGCTGTGTACAAATGCCGCTGCGATATTCAAATTGGTTTTAGAACATCTTCCTCTTTGCCCTAAGACCTTATAGCTCCTAACGCCACAAACACCTTTCTATTTCTTTTTTACAAAATCCATCACAGATGGTCAAGAACAGATGAGTGGAAAGAGGGAGAAAATGGAGGGAAGATAAGTGATGCCAACCTGACACTCACTCGAACAGTGGTATCCAGATGGGAGGATTAGGGCTAGAACTGTCAAGTATATCGTGATGGATTCTCCGACTTTGTTAATTTGGAAGTTATATTTCAAGTTTATTATTCACTTTCATAAACCTTTCTGGCCACCTTTGTTTTTCCATTACCAATTCCCAAAACATTTAATCTATAACAGAATGTAAAATACGAGGCAGATGCAGTGAAATCTGTTTCTGGACAACTATACAAACCTTTAATGCAAATCTTTCAAAAGGCTTTTTTTGTGCAACTTTTCAGAACCTTGTCTTAACCTAATGTTTAAAAAAAGAGAGAATCTCTGCTCAGATCATGAATTATGACATGACTTCTGGCTTTAGGGCTACTATAAGAAACTGTATGTCCAAGCACTCTCTAAAGCTAATAATATCTATTTATATATATTTATTTTCCTCTGTATCTCCAAGAATGTGATCTATGTCACATTTATACTGTTACTGAAAAAGATGGCGTCTGTTTATTGAACTTCTCAGACGCACTGTGCCCTATGGAATGTCGAGCTACAGAGGACCACAGCGAATCAGACGTGCTGTAGGTGAGCAAGGAACTGAACAGGAGGAGGCAAAGACTCCGCGCTGCATTTGTGCTGTGCTTGACACCGACACCGAGTGCATTGACTTTTGTCTGTCAAGGTCAGTCTGATTCTTTCTGTAAGAATTACATTCAATGGATCTTTGTCATTAGGCATATTAACATGAACACATCAAGTTCATTTTAAGTGAAATGAATTAACTGAGTTAAAAAAAGGGCCAAAACCCCAAGTATAGCCAATTTTGGAGATTTTGTTTTGCAGTGCATTGCTTTATTCATTCTTTATTTATAGGTGTTGCTTATGGGTATTTAAAATGCTTAGTCAGACTTCAAACAAAAAATTGTTTGGAAACAGCAAGATTCAACATGTGGCATGCAAATATAAATATATAACTAAAAAAAGGCACAGCTCATGTGAGTCAAATTATCCAAATATGATTTATATAGATTTATATTTATAACGAAATATTCTGAGAAATTGGAAATTTTTTCAAAAAAGGCCCATTAAACCTATGACACAGAGCCATGGGGGTGAATAGAGCCAGGGCAAACCATAAATCTGTTTTATGTTTTAATACATTTCTGTAAATAAGGCTGTTTTTTCTTCAACCTGTGTTGTTGGAGCTTTAACAGTTCAAGAATTTACAAGTAGGCGAGGTTGTGCTAGAACCTCAACTCAGCATTATTTTTTGTCCCTGCCAATAGATACATGTCCCTAGTTTTTAGAAAATGTTGAATGAAATACCACAAACTGCAAAAACAAAAATAAATGTATTACCTTAATCCACTGCTGTATATATATTTTTACTTCATAATTTGCTTATGAATTTTACACATCAAGTTCAGTTTACTCATTTAGAAAATAGAGGGAAAAAATTAGGCTTGGAGACAACACATTTATAAGACATATAATTTATGTGTTACAAGCGGGGTGTGTGGAGTTTGAAATTATTTATCAGGCAAGGGGGGTCTGATGAGGAGACACTATTGGTTGCATGATGGGAAAGGTATAATCCAGTGTTTTTGAAGCTTGACCCATCCTAGGGACAAAAAAGTCTCAGCCTACTGTCTCTTGTGATCCCTTCATGTTTATGGAAGTGCAATACTCAATCACTGGATATGTCCTTTAATATTGCAGATTTAATGTGAAATGTTCTCTTCAAAGCCCCCTGCCGGCAGCACCAATCAGGAGTCTCCACAGAGTCCCTGGACCTGGATGACACTTTGACGTCTCTCCATCTTCTGCTCTTCTCCTCGGGGGAATGGACCCTTCCCTCCTTTTCAGCCCCTTCAGTCTGCGTTTGGCACTCTTGCCTCCACAGGTACACTCACATTCAAGAAAAGAGCTTTGGAGTTTGACACTGCCGACATTCCTCAGCATCATAACTCTTGGAGCAAGTTCCATCAGGCCGACTGGTTTCAAAAACTCTTCAGCAAATTCAGTACAGATCCCTGGAGGCTATCCCCTTTTTGTTCCCCCCTCAGTGCAGCATGAGGATTATTTTCACCATAATAGCCAATGACCTTGCTTCTGTCAAGCTTGATCAGAAAAACCTTTTGTATTTTATACCTAGTAACAGTGTTCTGGGCTACTTAACTCTCTCTTCCAAAACAATGAGATCAGCTTGTATAAATCTTTCAGGGACAACAAAGACATAGACAACAAAGTGCCAAGAGGAGCAATGGAAAGGAGCAAGGCATGACATTGTGCTATCACACCTTAAAAAAATATTGAAACATGCAAACAGAAAAAAGTGGAAAGCTTTTGACTGTCCGTGTTATGGAGCATATTATTGAGCTTTGATTTGTGAGACTATTTACAGTCCGTCTGGAAAGCATTCATACCCTGATACTTGGCATATTTTGTTCATATCACTTTTTTTCATCAATAATATATCAATCCATCACCCATCAGTCATATTAGTTGTGCTTTTACCTCACCGCCCCCTGGCGAACATTCACTCTGTAGTAACTGTATGACAGCTTAAGCTGGAGTGAACTTATTGAACCATCCACAGTTGCGTCTAGCCTAAATTGCTTGGAGCTGTAGATTGCTTACCACATGTTAAAAAGTAAAGCTGGCAATATTCAACATATGTCTCACTGTCAACCAATGCCTTGAAAAGACCAAAACCAACAATGAATTTGTTCTGTTATCAAGTATTGTCTGTGCTGTCAAAGTCTGATATATCTTATTCCTCTGTGCCATAGACCTCCACTGCTCTCCAAAAACTATTAAAAAGACATAAATGAACCTCACTGTTGCACTGGCTGACATGTTCACTCATCACGATGAACATGGAGTTTATTTTGAGTCAATCCCTAGTCAATCACTAGTGCACCATATGTATATTATTTTGCAGATGAAAATAGTCCCCTTACAAATGCACTATTTACTCGTTCGAATAATGTTTGCCAAAAACTGCAGTGTCCAGTTGTGTCAGGAAAGTACTTTTGTAAAAGATGAAACTATATTTGTGACTAATTTTTACAGATTTAAATATTCATCAGAAATGTATGGACAACAGACCAAGGTATGGAAGATGGAAAGTACTTTGACAGACATGTCTGTTTAGGTCTTGTAACGGGATTTACTGTCAATAAGAAAAATACAGGGTAATGCCAGCTTTATCCTTTAAGGTTAAATGGTTTTGATGTGGAGCCACATTTTAGAAAAACTCCCCAGTCAATATGGACACGTGTTCCTCTTATTCACTGAATCTTTGGGGTGAAGAAGTAAATTGAAAGCACCATGTTGCCCAAGGCCTGAACAGACTGTGATTCAAGTGTGTCAAATTCCATGAAGCCAGTAGACTTAAAAATTATAAACTAACATGCAGTGCTCCATTATAGTTGACTGACTGTGTTCCTTGCTTCTGGGTCCACATGTTCTCTCCCACTGTTCAGTAATTAAATTAATCATTCCAGTTTCTCTCTCCTGTCCCTCCACTACTCCATCTTCCTGTCCAGTTTGTCAGTCCTTTTGGCTTTTGCTGCGCAGAAAATGTGTACTTATTTATCCTAATTGCAACTTTTGGATTTCCCACCGATAGCAGAAATAGTTCTCCTGTCACATGAGCAGTACAGACAACATCTCCAGCTTTTGTCCTGTCTCTCTATTGTTGGGCAGCATTGTGTCTTACCATACCAAACCATTAACCAAATTATGTGGTCTACTCTACGAAACAAAAAGGGACAATGAAAACAGCAAGTGGACAAGTATTTGTTAGTGCCTGTTGGTTTGTGGTCCATGTGGTTACAGTATACTGAGAGCATTTCCATGAAAATAGAGTTTAATGTGAGGAGACATTTCAAGAAAACACACTCCTAAGTTTGGCACAACCTATCCAGTGTACCCTGAATCTTATAAAGGGATTACAGGTTTCTTTTTCTATATTTATAATATTCTGCCCGATTTCTTGCCAAGAATGCATCACCACTAGTCTTGTTTCATACAAGCACTGAACGTTGCTAAGTGGTTTAATAAAAGTACCGCAGAGAGAATTCTAGCTGGCTGTTTGTTGCCTTTTTGTGCATGCTGTCGCTTGGATAATAAAGTGGACATCCAATATGTATTTCCATTTCAGTGCCATTATGTGGCTCCACTTTGTAAAGCAATAATTTTGGTCCAACCAAATAAAAGCGTATCTGTGTCAGTTTCCCATCAACATTACAAATCAACAATGACTTCTGAGAAACTGTACAGTGGGTCTAACTGTACACAAGAGATGTATTTGTTCATTATTTTTGTTTATAAGAATTATTTCTTTACATAACATGAAGAGGATTTACATTACATAGAAAGTATTACAAAACTCTACCAGTACAATATAGTAATGGTGTAGTTCTTGGTGTTGATGGCGAACGTAGCACACACAGGTACCATAATTGGCGTGTGTGTGTGTGTGAACATTACAGAATGTGTAACTTTACAGAGCATGCGGAACATGAATGTAACATTAGAATGCAACAAGAATGTTGTGTACTTTATAAAAAGCTATTTCATATAACAAACATTGGAGAGTTTCTCATTGATTGATTGATTCATGAAGCTCTTCTTCAAGAGTATGACAACGATCATACCGTGATCTGACATATAGACCAGACAGGGATATATGGATACTTTGCAAAATGTCAAATCAAAGATTCTATAGATGTCAGTGCAATTTGATGGTTTTTTTATTTTTATTTTATGTTTGTATACCTTCCTTTCATATTATATAAGCTTTAGTTTTACATGTCTAAATATTATTTTTGCCTGAACCGGAACATTGGAGATTGGACCCTTATAAATTAAGGTGAATCAGTCAGCCATCACGCTGGTATGATCGATTCTTAAGAGAAATTAATTTTTTTCCTTCAACATGTTTGCTACTACAACTTCTTTCTTGTCATTACCAGTGACTAATTTCATTCTCATGTACTTTTCGATAAAAGGTTGTGACTACAGTATATTGACCTCTGCTGGGGAGCATCAACAATCAATATAAGGAAAACATTTATTCTATCCTCATGTGTGGAGCATTATTTGCCAACATGTTATAGCCCTCTGGTGTAAAGCCAGGCTACAAACCCAGAGGAGTGAAATTCTTTCATGTGAACTGACCTTCTCTGGTCTGGGGGTTGGGTGTATGGGGTGGGGGTGCTGTTAATGCAAGGTGGTGCACAGCTGGGTAGCCTGGGGTTTTATTGTGTGTCGAGTGTGTAGGTCAACTGCAGTGCTTTAACCCTTGTTTTTTATTTCCCAGATTGCTTTGCTAACTTATGGCTGTCTGAGTAGAGTTCATGTGTGCTGAGTTAAAGAGTTTATCAACCCTCCTGTCCTACTCCTTCCTCTGTTGAGCTATGAACCGCCATCATATCCAGTTATAAGCTTGCTTTCAGTTCTCAAAGCTACCTCTGGTGTTAGTCCATGTTTTATCTCTCTAAGTGGGCCAGTCCATTGTACGGTATCTAATAACTTTCGAATGTCATACTGTAAACTGTATGACAAAATTCAAATTATTAACAGTATGTGCATATTACGTTGGGGTTGAATAATTAGCACGATGATCAGTTGTTTTTTGCCTTGCTACAGGCAAGGAATCCAAAAAGCAACTGATCATCATGCTAATTAAAAAGAAACTGGCATAACTCTGCACAATAGTATAACAGATATTTATAGAAACCAATAGCAGCCACATTGTGATGATTTTTCCGCTATCACAAGATCACAAGTTAATTATCTTGCTATCTTGAGATAGCAAAGTTGTTTTTTCATGATAATGACATAATTTTCTTGTTATCTGGAGAAAACAAAATATAATTTTCTTGATAATGGGTTAATATTCTTGTTAACTGGAGAAAATGTCTGTTTTCTCCAGATAAGGAGAGAAAATTATCCCGTTATTACAAGAAAACGGCTTTGTTATCTTGAGATCGCAAGATACTTTAACTTGAGATTTTTAAAAAGAATTGCAACTGCAACTAACTTCCCTTTCTTGTTTATGAATCATACATTAGTTATTTTGTTGTGAATCAGAGAATATATATTATATATTTCATGTCTCAGAGCTGCATTTCTGCCACACAAACACCTTTTTCCTGCCACACAAACACAGAACATCAGACCAAATGGACCCCTTGAAAACCTAATACCACCTATCATCCTGGAATGTCGCACTAAGTCTACCCTCAATAAGCCTACCCTGGAGCCTCAGTATAAACCTTCTGCAGTGAGCACCAATAATATCGCTCAGAGAGAAAGGCCTTTTTCCCACAGTACATCCTGGGAAATATTGCTGTGCAGACATCCTGACCATGCAACCGCAGGTTCAGGGCCCCTACCACGGCTTACAGTTTGTTGTTTGTGTTCTGGTTCATTAAATGAATAGACCTTGTGCCATACAGTGAACATTTTCTGGATACTGATGATTAAAAGACCATAAGAACTGCTCGGGTCACACAAGCCTTTCCAGACACAATGATATTATGTTGATATTTTTGCATAGTGTATATTCTGTTTTTGAGTCGGGGTATAAAACATTTATTATAATCAATTTTTAAGGCATTGTGTTATCCTTTGCTTATTGTGCATTATTGGCTTATTGTACCTATTATATTCTTGATTTGGTGCATAAATTATAAAAAGATTAAGTCGAAATGTAATACTATGTTGCTCAGATATGATAAATGTTTCTGATAGGGTGTGTCTTTATTATGGATTTATCTTCCACCAAATATTTGTTATAATTTTGCAGTAATGTTTTTGTTTAACAATGTACACAAAGATACATGTAATTAGGTGTGAAGATGCATTAAAGTCTTTTATCTTTTGGTTATAACATAACCAGTATCTGAGCTTTTTTTCCAGAACAACATCCTTTCCATAAATCCATTGATGCGTTATTGTTCTCATTTTGTGATCAAGTCAGTTGTCCCCTCAGACTCCAACCTGACGTTGGTAAACATAAAAAGTGTGGACCACACGTTTGAAACAAAAAACAGACTGCAGGTTTGCAGCCAAAGTGTATCCCAGTGTCAGCTCTGTGATTTATGACAAACTGGACTACTGGATAGTTGCTGTGATGGATGATTAAAAAGGTCTGCTGGGTTGTTTTTAAGTCAAACACTTTAAAATGTGTTTTGAGTGATACGTGTAATATATCGCTCTACTGGGAGCAGCCAAAGTAACTGTTATATGAACAGTACATAAATCAACATTGTACGCTGCTGCAAAGTTGAGACATATCTCACT